TGCATTAAACTCTCGGATTCCATTCATCTTGCTCCACGGCCAACCCCCTCAATACAACCACCTCAAATCGTTTGGCTGCCTATGCTTCCCATGGCTACAACCTCAATCACCTCACAAACTCGCTCCTAGATCCACACCTTGTATCTTTCTAGGCTACTCTCCACATCACAAAGGATATAGATGCTACAACACTCAAACCCACAAACTCCATATTTCCCGCCATGTACGTTTCTATGAACATCTACAACCATACAACGAACCTCTCACAACTTCTTCTCTCACACACTCTAACACATACATACCTCCAATGCTCCTAACTCCTAGCTCTATTCATCCGACACCCAACTCCATCATTCCTCCATCAACCAACTCCATCTCAGCTACTACCGAACCTCTTCCCACCACTCAACCCATCAGTACATCTCCTCCTGATATCCAAACCTTACCTACCAACACTACAATTCCCACACATTCTATGGCTACCCGATCCAAAACAGGTCACTCTAGACCAAAGAAAGTGTATGATCTACTTGATGTTGCTGACTCTGTGTCCCCTCCCACATCCTACAATGCGGCCTCCAAACATCCCTCCTGGCAAGCAGCCATGTCAGAAGAAATTGAAGCTCTGCTCAAAAAGAGGACCTGGTCCCTCACCCCGCCTCCGCCTCAGGCTCCCGTTCTTGGCTGCCGTTGGACCTACAAGATTAAAACCAATCCCAATGGGACCATCGACCGATACAAAGAGAGACTCGTCGCTCAAGGCTTCACATGACAATACGGAGTAAATTACAAAGACACGTTCAGCCCCATTGCCAAAATGCCCACAATCCACATTCTCCTCATTATCGCCATTCATTATCAATGGCCACTGCAACAATTCGATGTAGCCAATGTGTTTCTTCATGGCGACCTTCATGAGGAAGTGTATATGAAACAACCGCAAGGCTTTGTCGACCGGGATCATCCAAATCACGTATGCCGCCTACACAAGGCTCTATACGGCCAAAAACAGGCTCCCCGACAGTGGTTTCGAAAGCTCACTGAGTTTCTTCTTCACTTCGGATTTCAATTCAGTCGGGCAGACCACTCTCTACTTGTCTACAACAAATCCACAACTCAACTCTACCTACTCATCTATGTAGATGATCTTCTTCTCACGGGCAATGATCGATCCACCATCAATTCGCTCCTACAACAATTACAAGCCAATTTCGATCTAAAGCAACTCGATCAAGCCAGTTTGTTTCTCGGCATTCAAATCTCATACACTGCTACTGGGGCATTCCTCCATCAATCGCATTATGCTCGCGATATACTCATTGCATCCGGTCTCCAGGACAGCAAACCAGCTAGCACACCTATCTCCCCCTCCGGCACCAGAAATGCCCCTCTTCTCACACCGTATGACAATCCAACCCAGTTCAGGCAGCTAGCTGGCTCTCTACACTATCTCACCGTAACTAGACCTGATCTATCGTTTGCTGTCAATACAATCTGTCAAAGCATGCACAACCCGACCATCCACGACTATATGCGGCTTAAACGGCTTCTCCGCTATGTCAAAGGCACTCAACACCTCGGTCTACCCATCACTAGAGGTTCTCTCGAGCTCACTACAAATTGTGACGCCGACTGGGCATCAGACGCTACTGACAGAAATTCCATCACCGAATTTTGCACCTTCCTCGGCAACAACATCCTTTCATGGAGTGTGAAGAAACAAACTACGGTAGCAAAATCCTCCACCGAAGCCGAATATTGGGCTCTTGCCTCTGCCCTCTCGGACGTCATTTGGCTGCGCCCCCTCCTTCTAGATTTCAAGATACCTCTCGACAAACTGACTACCATTTTCTGCGACAACGCTTCCGCATTGTCCCTTGCTCACAACCCCGTGTTCCACGCACAGACCAAACACGTAGAAATCGATCACCATTTCCTCAGTGATCACATACAGAATCACACAATCACAGCAATTCATCTCAACTCCGAAGATCAAATTGCTGACATTCTGACAAAGCCGCTCTCAGCGACTCGCTTCATCACTCTAAGGAACAAACTAACCATCAGTGCCTTAGATCGTTAGTTTGAGGGGGGATGTACAAATATAATTAGTAATGGTATTGGCCACATGGGCAACACCATATACTCTCTCTGCGCCACTTCTCTGACCCTTAACGCTCTCTGACACTGTAGCTTTATGAGCTTTGTTTCGGTTCTTATATACAGCAAGCTCTCTAATATAAACCATGGGTTTTTCTCTAATTCTACTGTTCATCTTCTTCCTAACCATGCTATTGCGGGAAACTCCTCAGCTCCAAGTCGATGCAAAGCGACAACAGAATCTCTAGGTGAGCAGAGTCCTATAGCTTTTGCATAATCAAGGGCGAGTCCAACAGCTTCATCAGTGGCCTCAGATGTTGATGCTTTTGCTGTTGCTGTGCTCAACATTGGTATCAATCCTCTATATATAAGACTATAGCTAACAATGGAATCATCACTGCAGGACCAATCAAAAAGTCGCTTTTCAATTCCGGAACCACTACTGATAGGATTGGCATTGCCGGTAGATACTTGGCTACCAACTTCATGGTGCTTCCACCACGGGTAAGTACCAGAATGTGGGAAGCTTTCGCTGAATTTGCAGTTTGAACTGCTGATGAAGTAAGAATCTCTATTGGGCTCATGGGAACTGGAGCTCCAGCCATTATCACTTTGAAAACAATCCATAGTCTAGCTATGTTGCACCGATATGGATATGGAGACACGGATACGACATGATAAGGATACGGGACACGTCAATTCTTAAAAATATAGGATACGGGTACGGCGGGGACACGACATTATATTTTATAAATCATAAATAAAAAAAAACAATCAAATCATAATATTTGAAATTACAAAAAAAAAAAAAAAAAAAACAAAAAAATCATTTATAGCCTTGTAGCTTATAATATCAAAATATAAGAAAGCATTAAATGTCTAGTCAACAATAAAAGCATAAACATAAATTATCAAGCACATGAAGTTTCAACTATTCAATAGAAGGAATGATATGATTAGCTTCTTCATTGGTTTGTCTTTGAACTTTTATATCATCTTCAATAAATATCATAGTTTCTAATTCAGGCTCATTAAGTGAAAGATTAGCAATTTCTAAATTGTCATATCATCAAGAAACTCAAATCCATCTCAGAAATGCGAGAACCTTGCTCGCAGCCCTTGAAGTAAATATGATGCGTCTTTTTTTTTTTTATTTCTTTTTGTTTTTCAACGGACACGCGTATCGGATACGCGTGTCCTTTTGAAATTAAATAGTATTTTAATTGGATATGGCTTTGGTGTATCCAACATGTATCGGTGGCTTATCGGAGGCGTATCTGTGTATCGATGTATCGGATATAGCACGCCTTCATAAATAGGTGCATCGGTGCAACATAGTAGTCTAGGTAAGACTCAGGTTCCAAACAAATTTTAGCCATTATTCGAACAGCTAGTTCTGGATAAGCCCCAGCTGCTGTCTCTCCACTGAGCATCACACAATCACTGCCATCAAGATCTGCAATGGCTACATCTGTAGCTTCAGCTCGAGTAGGTCAAGGAGACTTGATCATGGACTCTAACATTTGTGTGGCCGTAATAACCAGCTTTCCCAGAATATTGCAATTGAATATCATTACCTTTTGTGCATAGAAAATCTTCTCGATGGGAATCTCCATACCAAGATCGCCTCGTGCTGCCATAAAAGCATCAGTATTCTTGAGGATGTCATCAAAATTAGCCACACCTTCCTGGTTCTCAACCTGCAAACTCCAAACATTCACCTCGTTGGATGAGGTTCAAGATTGAGCAATAAGTGATTGCTGAGACTAAGAAGCTCAAAGAAGTTGGTTTTATTCGTGAAGAGAAGTATTCCACTTGGCTTGCCAACATTGTTTCAATCTGGAAGAAGAACAGTCAAATTTATGTATGTATAGACTTCTATGATTTGACTAAGGCTTGTCCCAAGGATGATTTTACTCTTCACATCCCTAAGCTCATGGTTGATATTGCTTCATCCAATAACATTTTCTCCTTCATAGATGGTTCATCTGGTTACAATAAGATAAAGATGGCCCATCAAGATGAGAAATTCACTGTATTTCACACCCCTATTTGTGTGTTTTGTTATAAGGTGATGTCATTCCGCCTCAAGAATGCTAGAGTCACTTATTAACGTGCTATGTCTGTCATTTTTGATGAGCTGATTTAAGAGCAGGTTGAATACTATATGGATGACCTCATGGTCAAAAGTAAGGTCCGAGTATATCACATTCGAGATCTGCAAATAATTTTTGAGCACTTGTAAAAGCATAATTTAAAATGAATCCCTTAAAATGCGCTTTTGGTGTTACTACAAGAAAATTTATTGGTTTCATTATTCGCTATTATGGCATTGAGATTGATCCCTCCATGATTAAGGACATAGTGGACTTGAAACCCCTTAGGGGTTTTACCAAATTGAGGTTTTTTAGGATAAGCTTGCTTTCTTACAAAGATTGATCTCCAACCTTACTGGTGGATGTTATCCCTTTACTGTTTTAGCAAAGAAGGATACCTGCTTTCATTAGGATAAGAATTATCAGGGGACTTTTGAGAGCATAAAGTACTACCTGATGAGTTCTCTTGTGTTACTAGCACCCATCTCAGGTAGACCATTAATTCTCTACACTATGGATTTTAATGAGTCACTTAGTGCAATTTTAACTCAAGAGAATGAAGAAGGCAAAGACAATGTCTTATATTACTTGAGCTTATGTTTGATTCTTGCAAAGCTAAAATATCGGGAAATGAAAAAGCAATGTCTGGCTTTGATCTTTAATGTACAAAAGTTTAGACACTATATGTTCTCACACAAGATTAGACTGTTTTATCAAGTTAACCCTTTATAGTATTTGATGACCCATCTGACTTTGCTAGGTCACCTAGCACGTTGGTTTATGAATTTACTATAATTTGACATTATCTTTATCCCTCAACGGACTGTCAAAGGATAAACTCTAAACTCTAACTGATTTTCTTGCCGCTCACCTGATCACTATAAATTCTCTTCTTAATGATGATCTACCTAATAAACTAGTTATGAGTGTAGTAGAATAGGAGTCCCCTAATTAAGAGTTTTACTTTGATAGTGCATCCTCCATCAAATCACTATACCCTCATGAAACTCTCATGTTTAGGTTTAGTTTAGGACTCATTTTTGTGTCTCCTAAATGCCACACCATTTATTACTCTTACAGTTTTATAGAACCTTATACTAACAATGAAGCTGCGTATGAAGCTCTGATTTTGTGGCTAGAGTTGGTCATTCAAATCAATATTATGTGGGTAAAATCTTTGAAGATTTCTACCTAATCATTAATCAAGTAGCTGAAATCTTCATAGTTCTCAAACTTGAGATCTTACCTTATTAGAATAGGGAAATTGAACTCTTATGTCTTATTCCTAAAATAACTTTAGCTAGAATCCCTTAATCTGAGAATGGTAGAGCAGATGCACTAGCTAAACTTACTGATGAGTTGGCTGACCCAACTATAAACCCAGTGTATATTTTTATCCAATATCATCAAGACTTATGCCTCGTCAACTTGTCTCATTTTGATCATACCCTCACAGTGCTTATTATTGAGGAATATTTAGATTAGAAAGTCTCATTTATTGAATATTTGAAGTATGGTAGGCTTCTAGATGATCACTCTCTTTCCACTCAGATTAGAAAGAAAACTTTATCATTTTTCTATGTGAATGAAACCTTGTATCGACACTCTTTTAATCAAATATGATTGTATCACCTCAGTAATTAAGAGGCTCAGTAGGTCATGGGTGAGATACATGAAGAACTTTGTGGTGCTCATCAATTCAGACCTAAGTTGAAAGTCAGAATTAAATTCCGTGATTATTATTGGCCGACTATGACCCATAATTATATAGAGCATGCTACAAAATACCATCAGTTCCAGATTCATAGTATGGTTATTAATCAACCTCCTAATATGTTGCACCCCACTATTTCTTCTTGGCCATTTGAAAGTTAGGGTACGGATGTAGTGGGTCTTATTGACCCTTCTTTCTCTAGGGATCATAAGTTTATTCTAGCTACCATTGATTACTTTTATAAGTGGACAAAAGCCATCTCACTCAAGAAAGTTAACCTTATTATCACACATTGATCTCGTGTATGGTTTAAATGTCAAGGTAACATATTCTTGAGAGGAAATGTGGTGGGTTTGATTTCATATGCGCATGTCTATATTGAAAAATCACATGTTTAATATAAGATTACATAGTTCGCCAAAGATATAGTAGAAGGGTTGATGTTTGTATTAGTGAAACCCTACATGCCTAGATTTGCTTTCATGTAATATCTCAAATGCCTCTCAAATGATAACAAGCATGTGTGATTCATCTTGATGAATCTTTGGTTACATTATTCTATTTGATTTACTTTAGTAGTCATGCAATATTCCTATTCTTTTTACAAAATCAAGGAACTAAAAATGTATTTTTGATTAATAAATGCAAGGGTTTATTCCTTTTGTTGAGGACACAAGTATTGTTGTGTATTGATCTCAGATTCAAGAGGTTTCTCAAATTAATTTGTCTTCATTTGAGTTTGAAATTGGCAATATCTCATTTCTTTTCTTGTCAAGGAGTAAGAAGTTCATGTGTGTTTTGGAGAAGTTTGATTGGTATTATATGCATGAATGTGACTTTATTTGGGCAAACCCAATGTTTCTATTACAATGAAGAGGATTGTCTTCTTGATCTCATTCATTTCAGTTTTAAGAAATATCCTTATGTATTGAGATCTTCATGAGTTTGTGGAACTTTCTCGCCCTTTTCTCCATTTTATTCTTTTCACAAAGATCTGAGAAATGCAAGTTTTTTTTAGGGAATGCAAAGAGTGGTGGGCTTTTCTTCTTTAAAACCTTTGTTTAGTCATCATTTATTTGTAAATTTTGTTGGTTTCAAGGATCTATGGTTGCTCTTCTGTTTTCTCTCATAAATTTTGATGAAGTCTTGTCTACTAGTGTTAGAGCATGATGT